CAAACACTGGCATTAGATTAAGCAGCTCAAGCTATCCGTCGTCACAGACCGACTGAGGGTTCTCCCTGTGGTGAAACTTGGCCCGTTGCGTGTGCCTCCCTGCCTGGAGTTGGCTCCCCTCACCTATTTGATGTAGAAGGTTACGGGCTAGACGTGGGTTCTTTTTGCCAATACTCTCCACTCCCTTCCCAAGTCAATGCCTTTGGAAATCACAAACAAAGGACAGTAAATAACAAGAATGTTCCTATAAATGTGTGTGTGGTAAACATATAGCTGTAAATGTGTCTCGTGTGTTTTGCACTTCCACGCGTGTCAGGTTGTGTCTGAAAGCGTGCTCCCTTCACCACACAAGGTTGCAGTCCGTGGTCAGAGCGAGTCCATTTACAGTACTTAAGAGTGCTCGAGACATAATGCGCTCACTTCATTAAGTCTGGACAGTCTGCTGAATTATTGACTCGCTCATGTGTTGTGTGTTTAGACGTATGTTATTTAATCAAAGAAACCACACGTGCCTTTATACTTTAAAATTTAAGTCCTGCTTTGAAGGAAAATGCATAATTTATGCAGATTATTGAACCTTGTTACCTGATAAATGCTTGATGTTAGTTTGTTCATTACTTTTATACTTTCATATCATATTGTATATAAATATGCACTCTGACACGTAACATTGTGATATCTTGCCTGATCTGCTTGGATTATGTGCTGTGACTGTCAGCTACTATCACGGCAAATCTCAGCTTTAAGGTTGATTACCTGGTCCGACCATTTAATATTGGGTTGACTCTAAAGATTAGGTTAATTATGTTGTAGGTGTACACCTAATAATTATGCTATTGTCTCTCACACACACAAATGGATCTTGTACAGTATTTTAATATTTTTAATTGTCAAAACTATTACTTTTTCAAGGATTTTAATAATTCTCACCAATGAGTTTTGATGGTGGACCTGCCCAAACATTATGGTCCACCTTCATCGTTCATTTGTTTGGGACATTGAAATCTTTGAACACCTTCAGAGGATTTGAGGAGTCTCTGGTTTTAAATATTGGCGTTGATGTTGCTGGAAAAGTGGATCCTAATGATCAACTGATCCAGGTTCTGATGAAGTCAATCAAAATTAAAGTTTATTTAAATGAAAAGGGAGCAGATAGAAAAAAAAAATACATAACCTGTTCCTTATTTAATAGATCAACCAATTTACCTTTGTTCACGCTGACATGATCATCCAAAAATAAAAACCAAAATATCAAATTCAATGCAAACAGGCCCATGAGTTCATGACATCCATTGTCTTCATAGTTTCTTAACCCTCCTGTTGTCCTCGGGTCAAAATGATCCGCCACTGTGTTAAAACCCCCCCCAAAATCCACTAAATGCTATTTTTTTTACTTGAAATTTTATGACTTTTCCTAAATTGGCCCCAACAGTAGAAAAAGTGAAATGTTGCTTTTATTCACATTTCCATGTAAGCTGTACAAAAAAAGGTACAAAGGTAGTCTTCGGGTCAAAATGACCCGTGAGGCAAATAGAGTTGAAATCAAGGTCACAGAGTTATTTACAAACCACAGAATGTTACAATGTTTTAGTTGTGTCTCTGATCAATCAGTAGCAGAAACAAACAAGGCAAATCAGGTGGTGTTCTCGCAGACTTCAGAAGACCACCTGTTTATTTCCAGAGGTTATAAAGGTGCTGTAGATAACAGGACCCCAAATTTTGTCTGTGCTGAAGCCATGAGTGTGCGTTATAACGTTGAAGAGGCTGTAAAGCTGATTTTCTCAGATGTCCAGCAAGACAACTCTGATTCAGAAGAGGAGGATGCATTCGAAGAAGAAGATGGGGAGGAATACAACCCAGAGCATGATGAATCAACTTCAGAAGACGAAGAAAACCCTGAAGCTGAAAGAGAGACTTTCCTTTCAAAAAATGGCAAAATAACATGGTCCTCAGCAGCATATGACCAACATGGCAGGCATGCAGAACAAAACGTCATAACGATGACCCCAGGACCCACAAGGTATGCCGTTTCTCATGCCCATGACATCGTCTCTACATTCTACCTGTTTATCACACCAGCAATAGAAAAAAATAATCCTGGAGATGACAAATCTGGAGGGTTTTCGCAAATATGGAGACAACTGGAAAAAGATGGATGAGATTGACCTGCAGGCCTACTTAGGGCTGCTAATCTTAGCAGGTGTATACAGGTCCCGAGGTGAGGCTGCAGCTAGTCTATGGGATGTAGAGAGCGGAAGGCAAATTTTCCGAGCCACAATGCCACTCAAACTCTTTCACACCTACTCAAGACTGCTACGATTTGATGACCGTGAGTCAAGACCAGCAAGACGTGTGACAGACAAACTTGCAGCCATAAGAGAGGTATGGGACAAGTGGGTGGAGCGGCTGCCCTACCTCTACAATCCAGGGCCTGATGTAACAGTGGATGAGCAACTGGTTCCATTTAGAGGTAATCTGTTTTCATATTTGTAATAAGAGTGATTTTCACTATTGATTTCTTTGACTGTTTTCTGTGACACTGATACTAATCACTGATGCTAATGTCTTTTGTCCAAAGGTCGTTGTCCTTTCCGGCAGTATATGCCCAGCAAGCCAGCAAAATATGGGATCAAGTCATGGGTGGCTTGCGATGCCAAATCAAGCTATGCTTGGAAAATGCAAGTCTATACTGGGAAGCTGACCAGTGGATGCCCAGAGAAGAACAAGGGGATGCGAGTTGTGCTTGATGTGACAGAGGGACTGAGGGGTCACAATGTGACATGTGACAATTTCTTCACCTCTTATGAACTTGGAAAGCAGCTCCTGAAGAGGAAGATCACCATGATTGGTACAGTTCGAAAGAACAAGCCTGAGCTCCCACCTGCACTGCTTGCGTAAAGGAGAGAGAGGTCTTCTCCTCAAAGTTTGCCTTCACACCCACCACCACTTTAGTTTCCTACCTCCCAAAGAAAAACAAGAATGTAGTTCTTCTGAGCATACTGCACACAGACGGTGACATTAGCGATCGTGAGGACAGGAAGCCAATCATCATCCTAGACTACAACTGCAAAAAGGAGGTGTGGACAACCTAGATAAGGTGATAGGAACATATAGCTGCAGAAGAATGACTGCCCGCTGGCCCCTGATCATCTTCCACAACATCATTGATGTTTCCTCCTACAATGCCTTTGTGATTTTGAGAGAGATCAACCCGACCTGGATGTCTCGTAAGCAGAACAAGAGGAGGGTGTTCCTGGAGCAGCTAGGAAAGGCACTTGTAACTCCACTCATTGAAAGAAGGAAGCATGTCCCCTGCACAGAGGCCTCAGCAGCAGTTGTGAAAGCTATTCAGAGTGCAGGAGCTCCTAATCAACCTGAGGATCTAGCTACCACAGCACTTCCCCAGCTAGGGCAAGTAAGAGGAAGAGATGTCAGTTCTGCCCTCAAGAGAAGGACTGTAAAACACACAGTGTGTGCTGCAGGTGTAAGAAATTTATCTGCAAAGACTGTGCACTTGCATACTGCCATGTGCTAATTAGTTGAATGGGTTATGTTATTTTTCATATTTTTGTATTTTACATTGTCTTAAATTGTTCACTGGAGAAAAAAAAAAGAAACTGAGTCATTGGGATGAATAAAAAATGCATTCAAAACTCCTTTTTGCACATTTTTTTAATTTTCTTAAGCTATAGAAATTGAAGTGAAGAGGAAAAACTCATGTATTCAAACATTTTGTGGTGAATGACAATATGCAAGATGAAATTTGGCGTTTAAAATTAAATTAAGCTGCTTATATTGAGGGTTTAGTGAAGATGGGTCATTTTGACCCGGAGGACACAGGGTGTATACAGAAAATGAGGACAACAGGAGGGAAAACTGACAGTTAAACAGTTTTTGTTTAATCATCTACTGCATAATTTCACTCCATACTGACACATTCGCTTTAATGTAACTTTTTTAATCAAAATTTCTCCTTTCATCTTTATTGTAGGATCTTAACACAGAATTTGGCAATGACTTATCTGTGGCTTTGAACAGAACTAATAAGTCTTAAGTTAGTTAAATCTTTGAAAATCCATATTTCTTTTTATAAACAGACTATGCTCAGACTAGTTCCCATTTATGTCTAATTTAGTAAGATAAAAAAAATAGTATCCATCATATTTGTTGCTCTAGACCCCTGCAACAACGCCATAACAGCATTTAGCTTTTTCTAAACTTCTGTAGAAAAGCCTTGATGATTTCAAATAAATAACTAATATTAATGAACAATTGCATGTGTTACTGAAGGAGTTATTGATGCTGAAACCAGAACATAATCAATAGCCATATCCACCTTCTTAGATCAGCTCAGACAACAGACACAGACTTTGAGAAATTGTGCAGAGACTAAACCTGAATATGTTCCAAACAGAGTGAAAGATCCAAAAAAATAGATTTTGAGCCATTTTCTTGGAGGGAAAGTCATTTGGGTAAGGTTTGCAACATATGCTTTGTATTAAATAAAACTAGACCTTGAGGCAAATTCAGATAGAGAAAAAGAAATAAAGAGCAAAAGGAATTGGACTTCACGCCAATCTGCCTGAATCTCATTGAGTAGGCGTCACAGCGCCGCCTGTGCGTAAAAGTGAATGTAAAAATTGGGTAATGTATTTATTAGCACGTCCTGTCGGGCGTGGCAGGCAGGCTGATCTGACCAAGGAGGGTGGGGGGCAGGGGTGGGGGCTGCTCCTCTGCTCCGGGGCTACTGGACGCTCCATGATGGATGAGGGATGACAGATCGGGGTTAGCCGCCAGGGGAGAACATTTTCCTCCAAGTGCACGGTCCAAGCCGAGCAGGAAGAGAGGCAGCTGAGAGAAGCTTTCCACTCCTCCTCCCTCTCCTCTTCTTTTCCTCTTCCCCTCCTCTCCACTTCAGTGCATCGCAGTCACAGCGGGACTGTGCGCCGCATTGACGCTGCTGCTGCTGCTGACCCAGCCCAGGGAGCCACAGAGGACCTGCTTCAGTCCACAGCTGGACACTTCCAGCTGTGGAAATGCAGCGTCTTCGTGCGTGTGCTCTTTCCTCTCTGATCTGGATGTTTTGACGGTTTTGGAGGAGGTTGCACAACAGACAAGGAGCAATCGCTGGGACCTTACAAGTTTGCAGAGCTCACGGATGTAGCGCGTTTCCTGCGCCGTCTCCAGCATCATGGGTGTAGAACACATCCATCCGTAAAGGTGTGAGGATGCTCTCGTGAGAACTGAAAGCGCGTAATCTCCGGGATCATGCAGGTTCTGCAGTCTAGGACGTTACTTGTGCTCCTTGCCCACGCACATGTGCTGTTTTCCCTGAGGAATAATGGAAGCAAAGACGACAGCAGCAGGACTTTCCACGGGTTGCCCCGAGAGGGTCGCAAGAGCAAAGCCTGGGACCGCGCGCTCCCCGCGGAGTACGCCACAGGTGCGTCCTCCTCCGCGAAGCTGCCCATCATCAGAGGGACCCTCAACTCCACACACCCCTGGAAAAAGATGATCATGGGGGAAACGAGACGAGCTGGGCACAACAAGTTAAATAGGAGCGTAACACCCGCGGAGGACCCCAGCGGCGTCTCGCGCTTGGAAGCGACGCGCCGCCATAATAAGAGGATGAAGATGAATGGAGCTGTGAGCAGCACGGGGACCCCGGCAGGTGGACACTACAATGCGGTTAAGCCTCCTTCAATGGGTTTGGAGGAAGGAGGGTGGGCAGAGGAGGGGGGCATAAGACATACAAAGGAGGAGCAGAAAAAAGTATTGAAGAGGGGGAGAACCAGGCAGAACCCGTGGGAACCCATTCCAAGACCAGTGGCCCTCACCTCCACTGATATGCCCTTTGACCTCTTCACCAGGAGGCCAGAGCTTTTTACTTTCAGGGAGGAGAACCCGTGGGATGCCACACCAATCACTCCTCCGGGCTCGCAGGACTTTGGAGGAGAGATCAAAAACCCCTTTTACCCTGTAACAAGCGACACTTTTGGCGCGTACGCCATCACAAGCGTCTCGGGGGTCATCTTCCTGGTGGGCATCGCGGGCAACATCGCCATCCTGTGCATCGTGTGCCAGAACTACTACATGAAGAGCATCTCCAACTCGTTGCTGGCCAACCTGGCTGTGTGGGACTTTGTGCTCATCCTCTTCTGCCTCCCCATGGTGGTTTTCCATGAGCTGACCAAGTCCTGGCTGCTGGGAGAGTTCACCTGCAAAGTGGTGCCATATGTGGAGGTAATGGGCTGAATCCCACTGGTCTAAACCTTGTTTCAAATGACAGCCGACTTTGGGCTTATTTGAGCAATTGGCAAATCAAAATGTTTAGCTCGTGACTTTTGATTTTTGTAAATATTGTGCTTTTTAAAAGAATATTAAGTTTTATACAAATATTTATCCATATAAATATATTATCTCTTCAGTTCCTTCCAAAACAGTTTTCTTTTAAATTTGCTTTAGCACCAACTCTGTTTTACCCTTACTTTGCTGATATATAGCTACTTGCAGCTTTTAGCTAATCTTTTTTTATATTCAACTAGCTTTTGCTGTTGTTGGCTATTCTTTTTCTTTAGCTATGACATTTTACTACCTTTTATCATTAGCATTTTACTAACTGCATATTTTAGTTAGTGTCTGCTGCCTTTATCTTTTAAGCTATAATTTGTTACAATGTATTGCATTTTGCAATTTCAGTTCTTGCTAGCCTTTTAACATTTGACAAGCCTTTTGATATTTTTAGCTATTGTTTGCAACCTTTACTTGTGGCTAGACTTTGCTACTTTTATTTTTCAGCAAAATTTCAGCTGCTTTTAGCTTCGTTACCTTTAATTTCTGGCTAGCCTTTTCAAAAAACGTTCAATACAAGAACAACTGGACTTTATTTATTTACAACTAAAGTCCAGTTGTTCTTGTATTGAACGTTTTTTGAATTTATCAAGTCCTGGATGACTGAGAATCTTCACCAGCATTTGGCTATAGCCTTTTGCAACTTTTAGAATTTAGTTGCACTTTACGTATGGCTAGACTTTTGCTACATTTGTCTTTTAGCTAGTGTTTCGCAAATGTTGATCTTTTAGCTAATTTTTTGCTGCTTTTAGTTATTTTGAAACCAAAGCTTTTAGCAAGCCATTTGTTATTTTTGACTTGTAGCTTTTTGCTACATTTGTATTTTTACTAGCCTTTAGCAACATTTAGCCTTTAGCTAACACTTTTTCTTCTAAAGAAAGAAGCGGGTAAAAGAGGATGGATGGACGGACTTAAGTGTTTTGCATCTTAACTTTCATACCTCAGCTTGTCTGAAAAATTGAGCAGTCATTCAGCACACAGCATTCATGCATCATTTTCACAGAAAACAATTTCTCTGTAATTTCATTTATTTTTTATGCATTTCCCTCCAGAACATTTCCTTTGTAGTGACAACATCAAGAAAAGAGGCTCAGTCAGTGTCATTCATGCAACTTTCCTGACTGTCATCACACCTTTAACGCGACAGACGTCTTCTCTTGGCATTTCAGCTGTTCAAACAGAAAATGGCTTGAACTCAGCCTATAAGATGTGGAGCTAAAATATGGTGTGATCAAAGCTGAGAGTTATCCCCAACATATACTTTGAGCACCAATAAATCTTGCAACATCTTTGTTTAAAACTCTTAAATGCATTAAGACTCAAAATATGCATTCTTCTATGAAACACTAGTTTCATTTTCTCACATTCCTCATGATTCTCTCTTTTTTAGTTCTGTTGAACACAAGATACAGAAAAAAATGTTGTTTACTGAGAGATGATACCTTCCCTTTGTGTGCACTGTAATTCCATCTGCAACATATTCACCCACTGAATGTCCTTTGTTTAAAACTGAAGTTTTCATGTCAGTGGTTGAAAGTTTGCTGTGAAGAACTGTCATCACGAGCAGTTTCAAGAAAGTTTGTAGTTGAGAATCAAATGTTTTCAAAATGTTCGCAATTTATGGTTTAAAAGGAAAAGCAACAGAAGATTAGATTACAGCATGACGTTTGACCTTTTTGTTTTGAGCTTTATGGGTCAATAAGACAAAACAGATGACCCAAGCTCAACTTCCCATCCCTCCAGGCACCGTGGGGCCTTCAGACTGACAACCACAAAATGTGACAATATGAGAAGCAGACGCACCAAAACTTTACATTTAGCTCACTTTTACCATTTACCAGACGTGTTTGGTTTTATCATGATCTTCACTAAAGTTGATTGACTTCCATTTCTGCCTTCTTAGCCACAAATCACGTTTGTCAGTGGTTTTAATAATTTTTTAACAATGACAAAAATAGCTTTTCTAGCTTGCACATTAGTCCTTAAGCAACAGCTGAGAGATTTCTTATAACTTCTATAATCTGATGACATTATGCTCTCACTGCTTCAAAGACACAGGAGTTCTTAAACGCTGATCTATGACGAAAAAAGTGATTTTGATACTATGAATAATCTGTAAATACTGTGTGGTTTCTAAGTGAAGGAACACATCCAGATAGAGGAAATTGCAGTCCATCCATCTAACATTCATTCATAAATTTGTTTTTTATTACTGTGATGCTTCTAAATCCAAATATCCTATGACATCCTTCATATATCATACTTTCCGCCATACATGTCGCACTGCCATATAAGTTGCATCAGTCCAAAAAATGTCTAATAAAGTGGAAAAAAAACATATATCTAAGTCGTATCTATTATGCGTCACTGCTGTTAGTTACGCGTCACCAATGACAACCCAGAAATGTGGGCTGGTGTTGTGCCGCAAATTGACTCGCTGCCAAATGGCGGCCGTGGAAGCATGTATGGGAGGACTTTAACAAGAATTTAACAAGATTAACACGTCAAAACAATTATTTGTTTGCTCAAAATTATAGCAAAGGTGTGTCTCAGTTCAACTTTTCCTCAGTAAATGCACTTTGACGGTCAAATCAGCTGCATTTCAAAAATCGATTTGCGAGAGCGCGCAGAGTCGCTGTGCATTTCTTCTAAATTTACCAAGATAATCACCTAAAAACAATTATTTGTTTGCTTGACATTATAGTAAAAGGTGTCTCCGTTGAACTTTTCCTTAATAAATGCTCTTTAATGGTCAAATCAGCAGCATTTCGCATGGACGGCTCAGTGAAATGCAGCTGATTTGATGTTTGCTCCAGAAGTTCCAGAGTGAGAAGAAGGTGGCCTGTATGGCAAGCCAAATGTCTCTTTAATAGCCACTTTTACCTATTAATGAGACATTCGGCTTACCATACTAGCTTAGCATATTAGCTCTAGTGACAGAAATTAGCAGTGTTCAATATTTTCCATGTCAGAATGAATGAAATAGTTTGATCTCAGCCAAAATTGGGTTATAAATATGGGGGGGAAACAACCATAAGTCACAGGCATGCTAATTTATGCAAAAAAAACTGCGACTTATACAGCAAAAATTACAATATTTATATGTAGCATTGCATCTTTTTCAATCAGTGAACCCTCCATATTGTGCAGTATCAATATGCTGTCCCTGATTACTGCACTGCAGTAAGCTCTGATTCAAACACCATAAAACTGAATTATACTGTAATTAATGAGTTCAGAAACAAGCAGCCTCCTTTCGTTGCTACATATTAGCCGCCCAAGAACCACGGGATGTACGATAACCAACATAGACTATATATTTTATGTGTTTTTAAGTGCGTTTGTCTTCAGGTGGTTTTATTTTTCTATGTGAAGATGCATCTGTGTTGACGTGTGCAGAATCTTGTCTCTGTTTATCCGACTCTGCGCACATGCATGTGTCAAAACAGGCCATGAGTAACGCAGCCCAGGGCCAACAGTCTCCCTGTGGAACACTCAGTGACACACACACATGCACGCACGCAACGTGAATTCACTCTTCACTTAACCCAAACCGAGTCACAGGGGGCAATTAACATTTGGGAATAGAGCGTGAGCTACACGTGCGTTCAAATACACACACACGCACACGACAAATCTCAAGCTTCTATAGATAATGTGTGAGTGCCAGCTGAGAGGAGAGCCTTCCGGGGTGCCGTCTCCTCTAAACCGTGTTTTATTCGGCATTCGGTGCAGTGTGAAATTTTTCATATACCTCAAAGAGAAAGCAATTTTCCCGTGCAGGACGTGAGCAAACGTGGCTGAAAAATTGCAAGAAAGTTGAACAAAACAGAAAGAGGTGCAACATCGTGTTGCACTATTGCTGATGGACTCCTGTTTGTTTATTTATTAATTGTTCCTGTTACTTTAGTTAACTGATTCTGTGCTGCGGTTATGCACCCGGCATCCTATTAGTTTAAGACTTGAGGATTAAATAAGTGTAATAAAGATCTAACAAACATCTTTTAACAAACATCTCATGTTTAAATTTCAAGGCTGCAAGTCTTTGTGACTGAAAGTGACAAACTTGAGAACCCCCCACCCCGAATGTCATGAGATATTCCGGAGACACCCTGGTGAACGTTTACCAACTAGTCACAAGCCATAGATTATAATTTGCCTGAACAATAAAATATCATAAACTGGCAATATATCAGTCATCAGCTGTTTTGACTTCTCAAGATTCACATTAGTCATTGAAAAACTTAATTGAGCTTTAGCCTGTGTGTGCAACATGCTACTGCTAACTGTATCTCTCTAAACTTTGTATGAATATGAAATGAACACAAATCATTTTTCAATTGTTCAGGCTGATGTTGAGATTAGTCGTGCATAATCATGCAATTTCATGTGTGAAACAATGTGATTATTTTTTCTGTTTGCAGATTGAAGGGCTTTACATTTTATTACTGCTCTGCAGATAATTGCCTGAAGTTGCATTCTTAACATGAGTACAATTTCAGTACAGCTAAATACTTAGTTTGAGCTGCTGTGTTGTTTTTTGCTGTTTAAATTTAAAAACAGCTCAACGCTGTTGAGCTTGTGGGTCTAAGACCAGCAAATATTGCAGTGAACACAACTTCAACTGTGTCGTCATCCAGCTCAACTTTCAGTTTTGAACTTGAGAGACAACGCAAGTAAAGAACCTTTAAATTTGGAAGTTGCGCAATTTGTATTAAAATCTGTGACATTTTTGTTGTAGCCTGCAAATCATCAATCTCATCATTCGTGCATGAACAGGCTTCAACTGAAGGGCAGGTGGTGATTCGTAGAGGAGCAGACACGCACCATTATCACTGATGAGGTTCAGAGTGACGGGGAGCAGGAGAGGGTCGTTAAATCAATATAGGAGC